GATATCTTCAGAAGAATATTTATTTATTGAAGGCAATAGTTACATAGAATAAAAAAAAAGTTGCAGAGACAAATGCACCTAAATAAGATGGTCTTCCTCTAATTACTTTTTTTAATTTTAATTTTTTTCGATTATTGTTGACAATATTATATTAGTTTCAAATGTGCAGCATAGTGGTTAAACATTTATATAACTTATGAAATGACAGGTTGACCTCTAATTAAATTCCAAAAAACACAAGGGATTTTACTTTTTGAAACTCTATAATTCTCTTACTTAAAATAAAACATTTTTTTCTATTGTAAAAACCAAAAAGTATGTGTGATGTTTCATGAAATTAGCAGTTGGAGGACTCTGAGAGGTGACTTCTCCATTTTGCAGGGGCTAGTGATAATAGCTGGTTCTAGGATTGTGGAGCAGCAACCTAGAAGGGAGGTGGGCAGCCAATTTCTAAGCCCCACAAGAGGGACTTTAGGGGCAAAAGCTAACCTGACTTGGAACCAAGCACACAACAGAAGCACCAGCCTGGTAACACTGCTTCTCTACCTGGTAGGGTCAGTCATAATTTCAGTGAGATTAAAGGTAAAGATAGCTCACTACTCAGACTAGTTCTGGATATGTTGTGTTTGAGTGAAAGGAAACATTCAAATGATGATGGTCTCTGGACAATATGAAACACAGTCAGGACCAAAATTGTAATTGCTCAGGTAAGGGTAATGGTGAAGGCAAAAGAAGAAATGAACTCACTGAGAGATTAAAGAGGAACCAAGAGCAAAGAAATGCATGAATAACAAAACTCTGCCCACTGATCCCTGGTGCTCATCCCACTCTGTCCCAGGCATACCCAGCTACGATTTTAGTATATATGCTGCCGAAGTGAGCACTCAGCTAAAAGTTTAAATAGCCTGCTTTCCAGGCCTCTGTTAAACTTGCAGTCTGTCCTTGAACCTCACCTTATTGGCTAGACTTAAATCCCATGTATAACTCAAGGTAGTCCTTTCCCACCCAGAGGCTGGACTTATATTCTAGGATCCTTTGCACTGATTTAGATGGACCTTACAGCCCATGACCAAGCACCTCTGTAATGCTGAGAATGGTCATTCGCTAGAAGCTTGTCTACCACGACTGGCTCTGTTTTT